AAAATCAGATACGCCGTATAGGATAATTTACCTATGATATTAAATTTCTTTAATCATAATTTAAAATTATATAGTTTACTTAGTATCAAATAAACTAAATGAATAAGCAATTTTAAATGAGAACTTAATAGATTGTAAGTAATAAAATATGATATTTTCTCATAAATTCAAAAGTTATTTTAAAGCCGATTACAAAGTTGCGTGCGCATGATTATATGTACCTATATAGTAGAATAATAATGTAAGCCTATTTATGAATATTGGTACTATCGTATGTACTATGTATATGTGGTAATAGCTGTGAATAAGTGTTAATATGTAAGAAATGTTTTTTATATTATAGAAGCCATATTAAATACTTTAAATTCTTTTTAAATAGAGTTTTAGATTAGGACATCTGGCAGAATTATGAAAAAATGGCAGGTTAGGTAGGTAGGTATTAGATTGAGCACACGCAAAGGCTTTATAAAAATAAATCTAATTTATCTAAAATGAATATTATAAATCTATCTAAAGATACTTAAAAAGATAAGTCTGCTTCGCAGGTGGTAGCTTATGGGTTGTTGGTGAAATCGGGCATGAATAGTGACCAAAGGTTCTTTTAATAAGCACTCAAAATGTATGTATATATGTATGAATTCACTATTCAGCCCTTTTTAACGTTCCAATGCTGGGTGCGGGTGACTTAAGGTGTACACTTAAATTGATTAAATTGATACAATACATCGTATTTCAATGTGTCACTAATAAAAATTAATTTCTTAGATCGAAATTAAGTACTGTATAAAATAGAGGCTACGAACGTCTGATGACTGTGAAATAAAACAAAGTACATCCTCACACTATGAATTATGATAAACAATATGCCCCCATATGAAGATAATATGATTTTTATTTTAGTGCAGTTGTATCAATACATATACATATTTAATGGTATAAGCTTCGGTTTTAGACTCTGGAGCATTGACCCACATTTGAGCGGGACATTTGGCAAAGCGACGGTGAAATATCTATACATATATGTATATTACAGATAAATATATATGCCTATTAATATATATTTTTTCTTTAAACGGTGCTATCTAAAGATGTCGCGTGATTTAGATTGCTCGTTTTAAAGGTCATCCAATTAATTTATGACTATTATAATATATCGTACATGTAGTAATATTATGTGTATGCGACGTTAATTATATAAAACTTTATAATTAATTATGTATTTAAAAAAAATATACACTTTTGTAAAAGTCCGCCAACCCGCACTTGGCCAGCGTGGTGGACTATGGTCTGATCCCCCTCGTATTGAACGTTAAAAAGGGCTGAATAGTGAATTCATACACATATACATACATTTTGAGTGCTTATTAAAAGAACCTTTGGTCACTATTCATGCCCGATTTTACCAACAACCCATAAGCTACCACCTACGTATGGGATCCCTAGCTTAAAAATCCCCTAAACTAGCCCCTAAATTAAATTTCGTTTGCGATTTTCTTTTGCCCATATTTCGAGCACCTAAATTTAGGGGGCCTTTTAATATTTAGGTGACCCCTAACTGTCGGTGAAACAGAAACTGTCCCCTAACAGCCCCCTAACCATGCTAAGGGGATCCCTTAAACTTAGGTGACGTTGGTGAAATCGGGCATATATCTCTCAAAGTGAGAACTAAATATGGTATACTTATGTAAAAATAAAATAACAACATCGCTTACATTATGTTATGATAGACTCAATCTCATATTTCGACTAAAACCGTATCATTGTTTTAATATAATATATAAACAAATAATATGATCTCATAGTAACAGTATCTATAAGTGACACAGTAAGTACTTGTGACACAGAATAATTAATCAGTAGTTTACAGAGGCTCAGTTTCTGCTGGAATTTATTTAAAGATTGTAAAACAGATCACTTCAAAATAACCTCAATGATTACTCTACGTATCTATGTATAGATCATATATATATATATATATATATATATATATATATATATATATATATATATATATATTTATATATATAGCAATATACTTTATGTTATAGATAGAGATACCTTAAATCTGTAACGCGCTCACTCATTAGTGACCTTAATATGATTTCTATGATTCACAACATTATTCATCAAGATGAAAACTGATCGTTTAGCGCCGATTATTCCGAGAACAATATAATAACAATATAACAGTAAAAATAGAAAGGTGTCAGTCTCGTCTTATAATTACAACTTAATGTGTACAAACGCTTACTTTTGATTAGGTTTAACCCGTGACTATGCATGTCAATTTTTCTATTTAAACTATAACCACTAAGCGAGATCTTGATTTTATACTAGCGACTCACCCTCGCTTCGCTCGGGTTCGTCCTTAACTTGCTTCCCAATACAAACTTTTATTCCCATTTTCACCTCCTTAAGGGATGATTTTTGGGATAAAAAGTATGCTATGTCCTTCCCAGTGTCTCAAAATATCTTCTTACCAAATTTCATCTAAATCGGTACAGTAGATCCAGAGATTACCCCCTACAAGGTCACAAACTCACAATCTCACAAACTTTACCTCTTCATAATATTAGTATAGATGAAAAAAAAGTTGAAGCGGGAAGTAAACAATATTTGTTTTTTTTTGTGGCTGTTACACTGGTCATAAAAGAATCTCAAAAAAAATATAATGTAATAATAGAAATAAAAAGATAATAATTATCTTGTTTTCTTTTGACGCAGAAACATCATCGTAAAAAAACTATTTTTAACTCTGTAGTTTATGGCACTTCTTAACACTTCTTAACTACACATAAAAAAATTGGACTTCATCTTTAAAACTTGATGGGTTGCGTTCTAATCAATGTCAATTTTTCTCGGTAACTGAAGGTTATTTTCTTTTTTTTTCACATGGAAACTCCTGTACCTAAATATAAATCCTTTTTTTATTAGAGTAGGTATAACAATGGCTAAAAACATGTATTTTACTTTATTCAATATATTCATAGCAAACCGACAATAGTTGACCGGCAAATATTATCGTACCAATGAATATATCTTAATTATCTGATTAATTAAAATTATCGGATAAAAAGACATTTTGATCAATAATATTATACCGAGTGATTACTCCTTGCTCTACTTTTCAAAGGTATCATCATGGCGATGGAAGTTAAAATAGCCTCTTTATCGCGAACTTTATCAATTTATTCACAATCTTGATGTCTTACAAAATCAATGTAAACTCTACAACGATAGAGATACGTATTACGTACATATGTATGTTCTGTGAGAATTACATAAGTTACATTCAATTTATCTAGCTAGCTCTCCATTTTATACGCCTACATTATATATTATACTAGCAGAAACCGCGGCTTCGCTCGCGCTATTACTACAAAAAAAACTCTAGAAAAGTAGTTTCATACACACTTTCACTCCCCGTTTTACCCCCTGATAGGATGAATTTCGAAAAATGCTAAAACATATATTTATTTAATTTTATTGAAGAGCATTAATACCAAGTTTCAAGTAATTCTGATCATAAATATTTTTTTGGATTGTATTATAACATGTTTCCCGTGGGAATCAAATAATCTCCCGCGGTAAAAAGTAGCCTATGTCACTCTCCAGCCCAAATAACGCCAATCGGTCAATCCATTTTGACGTGAAAGAAGGACAAATAAACAAACACACTTTCACATTTATAATATTAGTATGGATGTATATTTTAAGCCACAAGTTTTATATCGATTCTTTGAAAACAATATATTATTATATAAGTAATACAATCATGTTTACAGAATGCGTCATAAATCAATCAATAATACGTATTTATTTAATGCAACTTCTAGGATTTCCTTGTTATTAAAATAAGTTACATTTTGTACAATTTTAAATAAATAATAACAGAATGTTAGTAATAGAATGTAAATATATTACATAGCTTTGCAATAATCGGTATAGTTTTGATTAATAAAAATAAAAATGTGCCTAGTTATATTTATTTACTTTATGCTTTTAGTTATAATGTATGGGAGTCTGCCCGATTTGTTAACATTGCTCCGCTCCCTAGGAGAGTAGCATGATATATGTATAGCCTAAATATATATATATATATATATATATTTATATATATATATATATATATATATATGGGTGTTTATATATATATCCTTCCATCCTTCTTTCCTTCCTTATATCCTTCCTCAATTAACCGCCTAGTTAATGCAAAAAGAATTTTAACTGCTTACATTATCAATTTACACTAAAAATACATATGTGATGTATATAAGGTTATTATTTACACTTTCTCTCCATAATTAGATATGTTGTTGATGATATATGTACATATAAGTTATGTACTCGTAGTACAAATTGATGATCTCATAAAGCCTAATTACACGGTGCAAGGAGAAAACGATATAAACACGAGCATAACAGCTTTATAATCATTTAATAACTTCCTACGTAAATATGTATATTACATACATATATTTGTACTTTTTCAAATTTCACTTTCGCAATATAAGAAATCTGAACGTGCGCCATATAATTTAGAGTGATTTATTCAAGCAAACGTAATAAGCAAAAAATTCAATTGAACATGTGTCTCACTAAAGTCCAAACCTCCTTTCTCTTCAAACAAATAGACGTAATTACTGTAATAGAAAGGCTTATTAGCAAAGTAAAAGTCTTCAACTTTCAGAAGCTAAACCGTAACCACTAGATGATTTTTGTTAAGTCTCATAAAAAAACATTCATCTAAAAATTAGCTATTATAATAAGTTATTTATTATCTTTTTTTTATCTTTACAATATAGAATGTTAAAATAATTTATTTGTTCTATTTGTTTCAGTGTCAACATTTTTATCCCAAACATTATGATTTACAAATGGATATTATGATAAGAGTGAAGTGTTGTCAAGAAACTAAAAATCCAAAGTGACGAAGTGGTGTGGTGTCTGTTCGTCTGCGTTCCGTTGCTTTTACTCTTTACTGTTTTACTATATCTACAATGTCTGACAAGACAACTTCATCCGTTAGCCCTAGAAGCTTTGAAACTATCTCAGAAGAGGATGGTGAGGAACCTTGGGAGAAATTATTGGGGGACGTGAAAGCTGCTGTGCCTACCATAATTAAAACTAACGCATCGACTGCTACCATCACGAGAAGTGGCGTAGAAGCTGTAACTACTCCTTGTGTTGATATCGAAGCGAATAAATTAACACGTTCCAAGAGCCTTAACCAACGAAGAAATAGCAGTGGTCTCCTTGCAACGATTCCTCGGCAACTACGTCTCTCCCTCCGAGGGGTGCGTAGTGAGCCTTCCAGTGTCAAAGATATTCCAGCTGCCAGAAATGATAGTGCTCTCAGCCTCTTTAGGTAAGATTAAATTTAGATATTTTGATGCATAATACAATATTTGAATATTTATTCCAATGGATAATTTTAAAAATACAATTAATTATATACGTCATGTTTTGATCTCATTTTCATAAATCAAATTAAAATATAATTTGAACAAATAGATTTTAACAAGCACTTTTGATCGACACTAGATATATTTGGCCTAAATATCTTAAGTTATTCTCATAATGTAAATCTTATTCATTAATATATTTATAAATAGAATATAATTGAAACTTAAAACTTACGTATGTAAGTACTAGCGACTCACACTCACCCTCGCTTCGCTTGGGTTCGTCCCTGGGTATCCGCCCCATTTGAAATAAAACAAATACTATATTTTAATTTTTAAGTGAAGCTTACCACAACACATTAGTGAAAACCGCACCCAAATTGGTTAAGCCGTTTCTGAGATTAATGCGCACAAACGCACATACAAACAGATAAACAGACAAAAAAATCTTTGTCAAAAAAAGTCAATCAAAAAAAAGTTTTCTATATTCGACGACACGTTTGGCTCAGTTTGTAGCTACTACTAGCCCTACTTGCTGTGTCAGCGGTTGTGAGTTCGAGTCCCGCTGGGGGCATTCATTTTGTGATGAACACGATGTTTTTACTCCAATCATTTGTGTTGTTAACAGTGTTTATGTTTATAATATGTATATATTTAAAGTTATATATGTGTAGTATATCAACTATCTTGTATTCATAACACAAGCCTCGTAGCTTACCATGGAACTAGATGGTGCTGTGTGTTAATGTTCCAACTATGAATGCGAATCGAATTCGCAACGAAGTATACAGCTATTAGTCTCATAAATAATCTTATTAATCGAATAAAATCCACATCTAATTCACACGTAGTGATTCGTATTACAATCTTGTAACTCAGTAATTGCAGAATGGAGCTATAAAATAAAATTCCTTTATTTTCTAAGTGCTCGTCTTCCATCAAGTACGAGTTTCCACGAAGTATTCTCATTAAAAAGACATGGAGGTCAAGAGCAGCCCACATGGCTTCGTTGCCGCCAATGTTATTACCTCCTTATCGACCCAGCCTTTTATAATTACCACCCAGCTTGATAGTCTCAGTAAGTTATTGCCTTCTTCATTTCATTTGCATAAAGTTTCATATGTGGTCTATCTGCAATGAATAATGGAATAAATGTATGATGAGTCAGTGTTGTAGTCTGAAAATTGTAGACACAATACCTCCATCCGTCTTTAAATGACATTGACGCACATTCTAAAATCTAGTATATTTCTTGCCATATGTAAAATACATGCAAAGGAAACGGACGTCCTTCTTTTTGCGCGATCAAACTTATACAGGAAACTTGTCACCGCAGACGCTACCAAAACAATGAACCTTTGACAGCGAGTACAATCTTGATATAGCCTCATGCCTACTCAGTGTTCGGTCAGGGTTACTGCAAATTATCCTGTTGGTTTAATATGCATCTTTGAAAATGCATCGTATCCATGTCGCAATGATAAACTTTTTTGATTTGTTTATTATATTAATTTATTCTTGGCCGAAACATTTCTAAACAAAATATAAGATGCTCTTCAACCAGGTATAAATAGTAAATCGTATGGGGCGTGAACTCTCAACACGTACAAAATGTACAGACGCAGACGCTAATATGTATGTTTGTAATAAATTTACCTAGCAACAAGCATGATATACTATCGTACTGCTGATTAAAACTAACATAGCAAATGAGCTAAATTTATCAAATAAAAGGTCCGACTTAATGTTTTATGTTGTTGTAACATTAACTATAATTTTAACAATTTTTAATGTTACTACTCAATACTCATTATTTAATATGCTGATTGAATCTTATACTTTTTTTACATAAATACTTGTTTTTTGTTAGTGTTTTTTAGTCTATGGGATAACTGATTCATTTCTTGCCAAATTATCTTATAGACTAAATAAGCACAGATGGTACCGTATCACCAAAGATATAATTTTAGTTATTAATTTTAACTTAATTAATTTGTTAGAATAAACATGAAATAAAGTATTTACTTATATCAATCATAATTTTTTTAATAACATAAATCATGCTACTTTATGAAAGCTTGTCTGGGTGTATGTATGTTTGCTTGTAGCATCTTAAAGCTACGTTTAGTACTCAGACTGTGGTCTGGAGTAACATATAGGCTACTTTTAAGAAGAATGAATGAATGAATGAATATAACCAGAATGTTTTAAAATGGACATCACATACACACCTGAGACGTGTGAAAATATCTTTCAATAGAAAGTTCCTAGTAATAAATAACCATTGACACTTTTATTGGTTGTGCGAATTCTTAGCACGAATGTACCAAGAACGTCGCGAGGCCATCCACTTCCTCTAAACTAATAACTATGTGATGCCCAATACGCACAACAATGAGGTTATTAACGCATGTAGAGCTCATTTTAGAATATTAGCTATCTAAAAAGTTACCAATGAACCCTATGACTTATTAAATAAGTTCTACATTGCTTCAGCGACCTCTGGGTGTCTATTCGCGTATAGCGATTGGCGGGCGCCAATGTTAATGTTTGCAATAGAACAGTTCCCCTGCTTCCTGCCTTATTGGTATTTAGCAACGAGCGACCTGAATTTCGATTTCTCGACAAGTCTAAGTTTACTCAATATTTTTAGTATAAATATGCACCAATAAATACGAGCGATTCAATCTCGCTTTGCTCTGGTGCTTCCCTTGGTGCCTAACAGTAGTCTGTTACTTCAGGTCATAGTATACTAAACTTCATCCATACTATCCAGCCGTTTCAGGATGAAGAAGTAACAAACATACATAGATACAAATTTACCCAATTATAATGTATTCAGTATGTAATTTTAATATACAATACGTAAAACAATTAGTATGATTTTTAATGTTACTTTTTTATATTTTAACAGGTACAAACTATAAAGTATATAATAAAAAAAACGGGAAAGCACGTAATATCCTAAGATCTGCCATGACGTTCATAAACTTGGCTTTCACCTGAATATATAAAATATTCAAACATACAAAATGAATGAAATGATGTCAATTTTAGGTATATTACATACTGATTGATTATTATTGTCATTTTTAAATAGATAGTTTAAATTATTTTAAATGAGTATGTTATACTACAATAATAAACACTACAAAATATATCTTATACTATATTAAATTAAGACAATTGATATCTTGATATTTTAAATTTCAGAATGAGGGATAGAAACAAGTAGCAAAATGCTGTTAGGTATAAACGTAAATATCATCTCAATAATTTTATAGTAGGTAATAAAAGTAAGCGTTAAGTTTAATTTATATTTGCTAGGTATTCATTAATACTATCTATATCCTAAATCTTATATAGCCAATATAAGCAAAAAACACCGTGCGGTTATCGATCTCCAATTTATTGTGGCACTTTATTTAGTATACCTACTTGTAATCGATGATCGTCGAATACATTTTGGCGTCTAGATTTTTTGTTCATATCCATAACGCAATTCGCGAGAATAATTTCAAACCAGACGCCCAGGTAGAGTCGACGTCATATCGTTTAGTTGGAAATAACGTCATCGTGAATCATTAATGGTAATAAAAGAATTAAAAGAGAACAACGATAACAATACCCACTTTAATACCATCAATATTTGTCTATCTCAATAAAAACTTCAGAAAAACCTGTAACATATCTTTATTTTTATATATTAATTTATGCATATTTTTATTTATGGAAAATTTTCAATATTTCTGAGCCTTAGACTTTACTTATCGATATTATTCAAATAGCAAATTTCATTTTTATTGAGATAATGAATGAACTGCTACTGTTAAACCGGTTACTGAGCATTATGTAATAACTGATTCACGGCCACGTGCCCTCATTGGAAAAGCATTATAACTAAAGACTAAAGACGTTATTTTTATCTTTGCCACTATTATACGTGATCATTGCGGAAACATCACGCTTAGTGGCATTTTAGTTGTAAATTTTTTGAGATATTTTTACCGCGGAAAAATATCTCATTTCTGAGAAAAAATACAAAAACACAAAAACTGCATTGTAAGAATTAGGTTTTTGATCATCTGAACGCAGGCGGAGCCGTGGGAAATGCTAGTTACATATAAAAGTTCACCTTTGTTTTACAGCAAAACTAAGAACCACTAACATACTATTAAAAACAAGGAGACGTACATGTAGATGAGGAAGACAGCGGTCAGTAGTTTTTCAAACTGTTTCCTCTTTCCGAGGATAAAAGGTTAAAATAATATTCAACATGAACACTATTTTAACCGTTTATCCGGTACAGTCCCTCATGACAAATGTTATTTTAATATACAAAAACACAAAATAATTAAACTATGTATGACGTGGTATTGATATCCATACAAACATAGCGTGATACCACAAAAACCCGATGGCATTTAATCATAAACGTGTTACCATAAGTGTCGAATTTGTGCATTTTGTTTCCTATATTCTCTTAAGACCTTGCATGATACGGTTTTTTTATCCTTATATTTTTGTACGTGTAACTAAACAAAAACTCTTGTAATAATGTCAAACGTTCAGCGAATTTTCGATAAATGATTCATCTAAACCAGTTCTAAGAACCGTTGGCTGTATTCAAAGAAAAAATAACAAACCTAAACTAATGTCGTTGCCATGGAAAGTGTGGAAATATTTTAATCGTGTTCATTATACTACACTCTTATTTGCCCGAAGTTTAAATTGATTTCCTAAAATGAGAGAATACAAAAGATCTTGAAAGAATTATTAACCTAATTTTATTTTATTTTGAAAGATTTTGAACGAAAACGATCCCCTTAGCAATAGGAGTAACCCGAGACATTTTAACCAAAGCGAATATTCAGGTCGAACACGTTTTATTTATCAAGTCACACGATTTGTATATATATATATATATATATATATATGTGCGTGTGTTACAGACATGTGACAG